ACAAAAAAATGTACAACTGAAGGAATCTCAATAAGAACAACTTACAAATATATACATGGAGGGATTTTTACAAACAAAGCCTTCGAAAATAGATCTTACATTCAATGCTCATTATTATATCAATTCTTTATAAATAAGATATAGGATGTACTATACAAAAATAAAAATTTAGATAATCCTGATCTTTATTTATAACAGAATCTGATTAAAAATATGGTTTTCTTAGTCAGTGTGTATGAGTGTGTGTGTAATTTCAACTCAGTCTGTTTGATAGCATACTAATTATCTTGATATCATTATTGTGCAGACACTAACTTCAAGACAGTAAAAATGATTTTTCAACTGGAGTTATGGAGATTAATGTTTGTTGCACATTGAAATCATCAATCAGTCATTGTTAGACCAACAATGTATACTGATCAGAGTTAGACATTAACACCGTTGGATGCCCGCCTAGTTGTCGAGAGGTTAGGCAGTCGCGAGCAGGGCCGAAAGTCCTGGGTTCGAATCCTGCGAGTGGCAGGAGTCGTGGATGCTCACCGCTGATGAGTCTCATACCAGGAAGAAACGGCATTCTAGTGCTTCCAGGTATCCGATGGTGGTCTAACAATCACTGATTGATGATTTCGATGTACAATAGTATAAAAGAATGAAAATCGACGATGAACAAAAAGGCGTAAGATGAACTAGTTGTTGTCCGAAAATTGCAAGGAAATTCAAAAGATTCTGTTATACTTGTCAGTTGGTGTGCTTGAAACTATTACTAATTCACCTTAGTCGGTGAACAAAAACGAAGAGAAACGATCCAGTGACACGATAGGCTACTTTAATCTGAGTGTCCCAAAGCCCAACTAACGATATCAAAAAGTTTTGATATGGAGTAGAAAGTGTATTCTACTAGCACCCAGAAAATATGAGGTTTTGTACAGAGTAAGAAGAAAGAGTATCATAAAACTTTACAGACAATGTATAATTATACAGTTGGATCGACCGTGAATACTAACCAATAGGAAACAACATTTAAAGTGATGTGAACTTGATAGTTGGGACGACCTTAAATAATGACCAATAGGAATAGAGAAATAGAATTAGACTAACAAAATAATTTCTTTAGAATATTTGATGAATATCCTATCAGATTCCACATTCAAATGGATCGTTGTAGCTACATGAGCATTTTCTTTAAAGTTATATTCATCATGTTTCGTTTCCTTTGAAGCATCATTTGAACTTTAAATTTCCGAAGTCATTCACTGCCGCCTTAGTGGTCCAGAGGTTAAACGATCGCAAGCAAGACCGAAAGTCCTGGGTTCGAATCCTGTGAGTAACATGAGTCGTTGGTGCGCACAAATGGTGAGTTCCATACAAGGACAAAAACAGCAGTCCATTTCTTCCAGGTTTCGAATGGTGTTGTCTAACACGGTTTGATTGATGATTTCAATGTGTACGGGGAAAAAATTGAATGGAATTCGGGATTAATTTTTATAATCAGATGAAAAATGAAGATCAGTTTTTGTGGTGGAAGTTAGATTGTGTTGGCCAGTTTCAACGTCTTCGTATGCTTCGTAATTCTGTCGTCTAAGCAATCAGCACCGAATAACTCCTGACGGTTATAAATCAGAAGGCAAATACAAAGTGTCGTCGAATTCGTTTATTTTTAGCACACCACAAAATGAGACAGCAGACCACAAGCTGACAGGGCAGGCACACTAGCGGGCGAATGTGCAAATGAATGGATGAAGCGAATGGGAGAAGGCTAGTGAGCCAACTTCAAGAGATTAAGCATGACTAAGAATTTATAGTCAGACAAAAATTAGACAGACATGTATTAAGCGAGTAGGTATGCACACAAAGGGATGAAAGCGATGAATGAGGAGTGACAAGGTCTAACAACAAGTGGGACAAGTCATGTGAGCTAGACATTGAATGACTCACTACAAGATCCCAAGAACTCGATCGATAAATGTCTTGATTTTGGATTTTATTCATGGGCTGATCGGTTGACCGTGAGATCACATTTTCCATCAGTGAATTCCTTGGCCGTGATTGGCCGATATGCTATTTATGTGACTCTCCAAAGGAGGTCTCTATCATGTATAAATAAACGCGATTTATATGCTTGGATTTATTGTGGTCTCTCTGGGTGTTTGTAGAATACACTTTCTACGCCATATCAAAACTTTTTCGTTAGTTCCTTTGGGTCAACGGATTAGGGTAGCCTACCGTGCCATCGGTTCATTATCGACTAAGGTGAACTCGTAATAGCATTCAGGCATATCACGTGACGAGCATCACAATTTTATTATCTGTTTTAAAGTTACATTTATAATAGTTGGCGTTGTCACGTTGGTGTCTACATCGGTGTTATATAATTCATCTCAGCCTACCTACGCAGAAAAACTGATCATATAAATTTACATTGTGATTATTATTATTATTACTATTATTATTATTATTATTATCATTGTTATTTCTGAAATAAAATACACCGATTAATATCATTAAAAAAAACAATTGAACAGTCATATAAAGATTTTCGCAAATATTTATACTTCCTTTTTACTATCACATCACGATATCCATGTGTGTGTGTGTCCCCAAGAGTTATTTGTTGTTGTGAAACGCGCTTCAACCTACATTCAAAACACAATTAATACAATATGAAACTTTCCCACAACTTTTGCGTAGGATGCGCATAAACGCAACATGCCTCAAATTTAATTGTATACTATAAAACATAATAATAATAATTATTATTATTACTATTAATATTATCATTTGCAGACAATGAAACTTTTAATATATCCCATTGTTTATCATAATTTTTATTTTTAGAAAAAATCGAATCAAATAAGCTTTTAAATGAGCTAACAGTATTAAATTGTAAACTGTTTGTTTTTCAAGAGATATTCGTGATAACATATGCAACACGTTTGTTCATTGAAAAAATAAGAAGAGTAGGCGTAAATAAACGTTGATATTGGTAATATGTATATAATTAAATTGACTTATTCGATATTATGTTGTTGTAATTTAGGTTTTTGGGCAAAGTTTTGGAGGTTTTGTGTTTTTTACACATTTGAAATCATCCATCAGTCATTGTTAGACCACCACTATTAGAAACCTGGAAGTAGTGGACGGCCCTTTCGTTCTGGTATGAGACTCATCAGCAGTGCGCATCCACGACACCTGCATCTCGCAGGATCCGAACCCGGGACCTTCGGTATGGTGCGCGAACGCCTAACCATCGGACCGCTGAGCTGACCGACATCCAACGGTGTTAATGTCTAACTCTGATTGATCTACGGATTTTAGCGCGACCTCACCCATTTGTCTTTGGTAGTTACTGCCTACACCCGACAGGGTTGAACTCCATTGGTCACGTCTTCTCAACTAGAACTCTTCACGAAGCTAGTCACTAGTGTGAGCACTGTTACGATATTTTCTGGCAGAGTTTTGAAGGTTCTGTGCTTTTACACACTGAAGGTCCCGGGTTCGAATCCTGTGACGTGCAGGAGTCGTGGATGCACACTGCCACTGATGAGTCCCATACCAGGACGAAACGGCCGTCTTTCAGTGCTTCCAGGTTTCTAATGGTGTGGTCAAACAATGATTGATTGCTGATTTCAAATGTGTAATTTAAGTATCGTCGTGTCATATATTCCGAAACTATTCTAGCTCATCAATACATAACGCTGTTTTATATGCATACTGAAGTGATTTTTTCAAGTGACATCATTCAAGATGCCATTGAAATTCATCGACTTGTCAAAATTGATGTTTCTGTTATCAAGCTTCAGCTTTTCGTTTTACATTATTCGTACATTCAACAGGATAGTATGACAGATGATGGTTTATAGATTGAATTGTTTACTGATAAGTAAACTGTTCATAGTGATAAATGTTGACCACAACTTTGTGTTGACTTAAATGAATTTAAATTTCAAAATAAACTGATAAAAGAAAGCATTTCATAAAATGTATTTATATTGTCGGGATAAAATACAAACTAATCACATGTTACAGGTCAAGAACTCATTAGATAACTAGATTAGAAAATAAAACCAACATACTCTTAATACTCCTGCCTATAATAGTTTTATTCCTTTAGTGGCTATACGAATAAAATAATCCAATGCTGTTTCGACTTAGTTTACTGTGACAATTAGTTGTGTTCAGAGATTCGTACAGGTTAAGCGACAAGTGTAGGCATCAATATTAAACACCAAAGTTAGAATTTTCAGCACGAATGTCAAGATAGTTCTACTGTATGGAGCAGAAACTTACAGAATTACAAAAGTTATCATCCAGAAAGTACAAGTATTTAATAACAGTTGTCTATGCAAAATGCTGAGGATCCATTAGCCAGCCACCATCAACAACAACCTACTTTGGGAGAAAGCAAACCAGATTCCAGGAAATCAAGAGGAAATCAAGAACTGCTGAAAGTGGATAGGATACATTGCGTCACAGGAAAAGTCCTCACTTGGAACCCTCAAAGCCAAGGAACACATTACGCCGAGAAATGGAGACAGACATGGAAAGAATGCACAACGACTTGGCAGAGCTGGAAAGGGAGGTCCAGGACGGAGTAGGCTGCAGAATGCTGGTCGGTGGCCTATGTCATATTGGGTGTAACAGGCGTAATTATGTAAATAGGTAAGTATCACTTATCAGTTATAGTCTAGTGAATTAGTGTTCCTTAATTTTCAGTAGCATCCCAATTAATTAAACTGACTGAATTTTCTCGGTTTAATTCTGCTCACAAAACGATTTCCAACATGTTTATCTTTTTCATGATTTATTTACACATTTCATTCGTTTGTCAAATCCTTCATTTATTTCTTCACTATAAATTTATTATCTCTGTAGATTTATGTCGATTAAAAAATAGGATAACAACAGATTTCAACTTGATATATCACTAAATAAACAAATGAATGATTCATTGATCAATGTTATAAAATATTTATTTATTCAACATATCATAATTAATTATCATGTTGAAAGAAAAATTTGATTTAAATTCTTTCGTTGGTAGGTTGTTATTTTCCATTAAATGTTAGGATTCATCTGTTCAATAGCACAAAATGGCCAT